GAGAGAGGCCTGGGAAGGAGATAAACTCTCCTAGGCCCACTTCTTCCAGCCAAACACTACCTCCTAACAGCAAGTCAGCTATGAGCACCCACCATCCAATAGCCTTCCAAAGCCTCACTGTGAGCCCACGAAGTTCTTGGGCGACACCTAAGTATAAACCACAACAAGCACCCAATGACGGAAGCTGGGACAGTTTAGGCAATAAATTAGGGCAGGCACAATAGGAAGTACAGTAAGTACTCGCTATAATTCTAACTACTAATATTTTAAAGTGCAAGGATTTATAGTGAGTGAGAAAAACAGGATGTCCAACTGTGAATCCCTCTATAAAAATATGTATAGGATCAATAAGGAAAGGTCATAATATTCAAAATGTCAAGGGCTGGGGATTCAGCTCAGTGGTTCTGCTGCCTGCCTCACAAGCGCAAGGTTCCGAGTTTGATCCCTGGTACCAAAAAGTATATATTCACAATGTCAGGATGGTCACTTTGGTGACACAGTTCTTTTCTAGTTTCTGTAATGTAGTATTATTTTTATACAGTTTTTATAAAGATTAAGATTAAAATGCAAATACTTTTTCAGGCTATAGATTGTTTGAAATTTCTTTGATCTGTTCACCTATAATCTCTCCATGTGGCAGACTTTAAAGTATAAATTTACATTGTTCTCTATGACACTCTGGAGGTTACCAGTCACTTCTGGACACCAACTGCCATCCCTTGAATTGTGCAGGGGACGCTGCTCTACTCTGAGGGCTTATTTTCTCATCAGAGAGGTCTCTGGCAGTGAAGACAAGCGTGTGATGGGAGTCCGGTCCGGTAAGTGGCTGCTTTGAACCAAGCCCCAGAAGTGTGGAAAGGCCCTGTGGGCTATGATTGTGACCACACCCACTGGGACAGGTGTGGTCAGGTTGGTGTGCAGGCAGAGTAAAGCACAGAGTGTTAGCTTTCCATCAAGGGGACAGAATACCTAAGGTAAACAAAGGAGGGAAACTTTATTTTGCTCATGGGCTCAGAAGTTTTGGACCCCAGCCTCTGGGCATTACTTCTGGGCCTGTAACAAGGCGGTACAGTGTGGTGGAGGCAGGTGGGAGGGATCTGTTCACCTGGTGGTGGCTGGGAAACAAAAGACAGAAGGGAAGGGGCAGGAATCTCAATACCCTTCTGGGACACGCCCCCAATGGCTTCAGCGGCCTCCCAATGAGCCCCACCTCTCAATAGCTCCACCCTCCCAGTAGGTCACAGACTGGGTGATGACCATTTGTACAGAGGCCTACACTTAGGAAAGAAAAGGTCTCTTTAGCATTTCCCAGTGAAAATCCTTTCAAGACCGATCCCAAGAAACAACTGTCTCGTTGCTAAAGTACTTTTTTGGCCTGGTGTATGAGGAGAAATGAAATCCTGCGTGGTTATATTAACAGGAGTGCCTTCTACATAACACAGTCTGTGGGCTTTGGGGTTTGGCTGGCCTGCACGTCCCGTCCGCCATAATTGCTGGGTGAAGTCTGGCTGTGAAGCCATCCTTACAGCACAGGAAATGCAAGCGAACATTTTAAAAATCCACTGGGTTCAAAGTGAGTCCTACCCTATCAACTTACCAGAGATGGATGTGGATGGATCCAGGAGTTTACTGAACTGCCCCCCTCACTCTAGGAGGGGGACACAGGCATGCAGTGTCCTGGCTGCCCAGGATCCCAGAGCAACAAATTGGGATAATCAGCCCTGTTGGTTCCTCTAGAATTCACATTTGAGGAACGGTGAGTTAATGGAGGATGAGAAGTGAACACTGAAACTTTTTCTTTCTCTCTTTTACTCTTCTGAAGGAACCTGTGACTCTTGCAGGGTCTTTAGCAACCACCGAAGGACCAGTTCTCTGCAATGTCTGCTCTCCCTCAAGGGCATAGATATCGCAGCGGGCTTACTGTGGGCAGAAGTATGTGGCTATGTGAAATGTACGCTTGTCCCACCACCCTGGGCTCCGGTAATAAAACCTTCTTGCTTCTCTGAAGCTCGTAATTGGGTTCGTTCTCAGAACAGAAAGGACAGGACAACGCGTCTATGTGGGAGAGGGGTGGTCCTCCACCCCCCACAGGATGTTACGCAGAGATTCCCTGAACTTGAGCTAAGAACTGAGGGCAGAGCTTCTGAGCTTGCAGTGGATACTAACTACAGTAGGAGCGCCAGCACAGCACGCCTGACACCAGACTTCACGTGTGACCTCAGGCTTCATTCTCACATAGGCACAGAGCATCTGCTGGCACACGGCGCTTGGGCTCCTACCCACCATCCCAGGCCGCCTCCTGGCCTGTGCTCCCTGGTACACTGGAAGTGTTACACTCGATCGCGAGAGATTACGGAGCATTGCCAACACTCAGCCAAACTGGAGTCCTTTATTGCTGGCGGTGGACAGCAGCTAGTGCTCAGAATCTTTTGATTCCAAAAAGCGGCTTGTAGGTTTCTTTTAAGTGGCTCTTCTAGTTGGGGGGGGCTCAGAGAAGGGGGAGCACAAGTGGAGTTTTGCTGAAGCTGAACTTTGATAAATTAGTGGGGGTCAGGGGAAGTTTCACACAGTTTAGTTGAAGCAAAATATTACACAGCATTCTGTTCACAAGGTCATGAAGGTAACACAAAGCTGCAGGCTACTCTACCAAGTGGGATGTGGTGGTCTATCAGGCATCAACCGAGAGCACTCCCTAGGGAGGGAGGGGAGGCAACCACTAGAATCACTCAACTTTACATGAAATGGAGGGCGAACGGTGGTGAGACACAAAATGGAGTCAGGTTGGCTATCACAGAAGCACGTGACCCCCACTGTCCTCTGGGCCACACATGGCTGGAGTAGGTGAAGACAGCTCCTTGGCACTGGCCCTAACAACTAGTCCTCCGGCATCTGCCACTTGAGGGGTGTGAGAAGCTGTATATGGTGAGGAACAGGGATAAACCTGTTCCAAAGACACACTCTTTTGAGTGTTGGTCAGCTTTTCCATCACTGCAACAAAATAGCTGGCACTTGCAACCAGAGGAAAGGTTTATTTTGGCTTATGGCTTCAGAGTTTATGGTTGGTTGGCTCCAAGGCAGAAATGACACAGCAGAAGGCATGGCGGAGGAAAGCAGGGAGAGGGAAGGGAGACCCTGGCCACAAGAATACGATTTTCAGGTTATACCCCAGTGACCCAGCTCCTCAAGCAGATCCATCTCCTAACAGCATATTCACTGCCTCCGGAGCCCAGTTACCACTCAAAGCCCCATCTATGGACACCTGAGACTTTGGGGGACATTTTATACTGAAACTATAACCCTGTGGGAGATTGCCTGGGGTGGTGCCAAGCCGTGGGCCCCGCTTTTGCCTGGAGACCTAGCTTTGTCTGGGGCATAGGATTGGTAGGAATAGTGGGAGATGACCAGGGCATAGGGAGAACTGGCCACTGTATTGACAAAGAACAAACTCCTAGGCCCTCAGCCCGTTACTCATCAAAAGCATAATTTGCATTTTCTTCTGAGGTGGTCAGGCTAAAAGACTATGGCTTCCCTTGGGCCTACAAATGCCCAATAAGTAACTAAAAGTAGAACAAAGCTTGACCTTCATTTTGTGAAACTCTGGGTCGAATCCCTCTCAGCTCTGCACACAGGCAAGTTCATCACTCAGGGCGTGTCATCTACAAGCCCACCTTCCCCCTTCATCTCCACTGCCCTAAAGCTATGGTCACTTTGGATTGTGGAAGCTTCACTGGCTCACGCTGCCCTTCAATCCACAAGGACCTCTGCCACAGGCACCCAGTTTCCCCTCCAGTCACAATTCGCCTGAGCTGCAAAACCAGGACTGAGGTGACCATCGGCCAGACCCTGGCCCACCTGGCTTACCCTTAAAAGTTGGTGCCCGCTTTTGTGGGTGGGCCAGTCTGAACCCCTGGGTTTTCACATGCCGCTGCCAGCTACTCAAGCTGGAGTCTTGTGCCTGTCTTTCTCTTACTTTCCAATTAACAACATTTTTTTTGTAAATTTGTGCTTTAGTTTTAATTTCTGTTATCAGTAAAGCAAGGATCCATACCAGCTGGTGACACTTAGCTGGTATTTTTGAGAAATGGGGGCTGAGCTCAATGGAATTCCTGAATACCACCTGCAGGGCAGGGGGTGATATTTTGGTTTTTGTCTCTGTTTTAATGTGGTGAGAGGAAAAAAGAACAAAATCTCAGCTAAAAGAGAATACTCCAGGGAGCTCCTTAATTAAAAACAGGAAGTACTTTCAAGGATTTTCAAGAAGCATTCTTCCAAATAAAGCAGAGATTCAAAACCACCACCCTTGATGAAGAGTTTCCAGTCAGGCACTAGTGGCCTGTGTTTGGGAAATGGTTCCTCCCTTACCCCTGGTCCCTGGCTCTGAGTGTGTAACTCAGACAGCTGGAGACCAGGAAGCCATCCAGGCGCTGTCCTGCCATCTGTCAGTCATTCCCAGTTCACAGGTGAGAGGGTCATAAGGGGTCTGTGCTCTGAACTGAAGAGTTTCCCCGCAAGTTAAAACTGGGAAGGTCCCAGGCAAATGAGGAGGAACTGCCCACCAAGACAGAAATGCCTTTTGTTAGGGAATTGATCATGTTAAAGTATGCTGTGACGCCGCCAGCACAGGCTGCATTCTTCTGGTACCTCTTGGCTCCTAAAATGACCTCATGCCCTTATCTCTAGTCCCCCGCCACCCTAGGCCACAGTGGTCCAGAGAAGTTGAAACCTGTTTCTACAGGGCTGGACTCATAAAAGGCAACCTGGCCTGTGATAGGTTAAAAGTAGCTCACTCCTCATAAATAATCAATAGCCTGGCCCCAAACTGATGAAAGGACCTTCCTTTCTTTGTTCTTTTTCTTCTTCTTCCTCCCTCTCTGCTCCCGCTCCTTGAATAAAATCTCCAGTCGGACCTCTCGGTGTGTGTGTGGCCTTAGTTGTTGAGCGTCACTGTTCCCTTTCACCTTCCCCTCGCTTGCTTTTGTCCCCCCCTCCCTTGGACCTACCTGATGTTCCTTTTGACACCCTGGTCCCTCAATTCCAGTGAAATTTCTCGGACTTTCCTCCACCAGATTACATCTTGCAGCTGGCAGGACTTCTGGCCAAATAAGGACATAAAGCTCAAATTCTAATTTTATCTTGTTTTTAAAATATTTTACAACAGAAGCTGATGGCTGGGATAGTCATTAAGTGTTTTGATTTGATTAGGCCCTGGGCTCTCATTATCAAACATTTTAACCATTTTCCCACCAGATCAATGCAGAAGGGATACAGGGAGAGTGGGCAGAGGGCCCAGTCCTGGCTGTGAGCATAGTCACATATTTGACGGTGTGCAGCCAAAGGCCTCAATTTCCTTCCAAGTTGTTGCTGTAGTCTGTGGATTGTGGTTCCTCTCCTAGGACACTGTTTGATGTGCTGTGTACAAGCTTTCTGCCTTGTTGATGTTTTGAGACTAACAGAGCGGCGTGTTTACCTTACGGGGGGTGGTGACATGGCTGTGCAGACAGCAAAAGGCAGGGAAGCTGCAGCAGTTCTGACTCATCTCTGCTCCCTGCGACTCTGACTGTTTGGTCCCTAACCCCTGCTTTCCTAAACCCTGCTCTGTCTCAGGATGGACATTCTACAGGCGTTTTGTATCCTTTCAGCTAACTTTCCACCCTCGTCTTTCACATTTAAGACTGCACTGAGTAGGAAGGCTTTCCCTCTTCATCTGTTTTTGATGATGCCCTGACCCTGAATCTTACAAGGTAGACTGACAATGACAGAGCAACTGAAGGGCCGGAGACACTGTCTGGACTCACTCCAGGGGCTTGTTTCCACGCAGCATCGGGTTCACCTGGCCTCCAGTGGGGCCTGGCATTCTGCATTTTTCTCTTTTCTTGCAGGCTGAAATGCATTTTATTTAATTCTTTATGCATTAGGGATATGCATGTAAGACAGGGTAACGGGGAGGGGTGCTGCAGGGGGTGGGGCGAGACGGCACGCAGCCAGTACACTGGCGCCATCGTCACCGTACACAGAACCAATCAGAAACCTGCTATTTTCCATCCTCCATTTGAATCTGGTGCAGTTCACAGAACCAATCAGAAGATGCTCTTTTCAATGCTTCATTTGCATGTGGGCACAAATCAATCAAAAGACAGTATTTCGGATCCTTCATTTCCGTGGAGCAGGAAGCCAAATGAGTTTTTGATGGGACAGTTTTATACATGGAGTGACACTAAACTGAGTGTTTGATAGGATGACTGAAGCCTTATTCCCATGAAAGAGAAATAATAATCTGGGAATTTGGGATATGAAAGACCTTTTTCCCCTATCCTTGGAGCTGCTGTGAGCCTTTTTACCAGCCCACCAGTTCTTACTCTGCGGAGCATTATCTTTTTACTGTCTTCAATAAATGCGCACTTTTGCTGCCTTTTTCTGTGTATCTTATCCAATTCTTTTGTTCAGGACACCAAGAAGCTGGAAGGAAGCCCTGTGGACACTCATCTGGACACATGGACAGAAACTCTGGGCCATGAATGAAGTAAGGAACTGTGAGAAGCCTCTGTTGAAAGGGGTCCTTCTGTGTGTGGGTCCCTCTGATGACCTCCGTCTCCACAGGCGGACGTGCAGCCCATGGGCGGTTTGCAGTCCTAAATTCCTTGTCCCCTCTTTGGTTTTTACACTGATCACTGTTTTCTACAGGCATCCCCCACTAAAGACAGCACAGTGACCTTTACTTTGGCTGAATCAGGATGGCTGGGATGAATAACCCAGGTATGCTGTGACCAGCTTCTAGGGAGGCTGAGGCTGCCAGCCCAGGGATTCCATTCTGAGTAGGGCAGGAGCGGAGGACAGGTGCTTAGTGGGGAGAGACAAGATGGAGTTAAAGTCAGACTCTCTGGGATCCAGATTTCAACTCCTGTAATCACTTGGTAAGCCAGAGTCCATCAGGCCATTAATAGGACTGACTGATTAAATAAAAGTAACATTTGAACTTCTTTGCTACATCAGGGGGTCCATACATATTGTCTCTCTCTCTCTCTGGTCCTTGCACTGCGAGGCAGGCAGTGGAACCACTGAGCTAAATCCCCGGCCCCTGTCTGTCTCTCTTTACCCTAGTGACTTTTGCAAATCCACACAGAGGGATGACCTCGGTGATTCGATCAGTAGTAGTCTCTGGTATAAACTTACCTCAGTATGTTTTCCCGGTCCCATAGCAGCGTTCTTTCGGTCTGTGTCAGATTTACCCTTGGAGGGTTTCAGAGTGTCACACACTAGCGCTTTTCATGCCCAGTCAGTGAGTCAGGGCTCGCTGGGGTCCCCGTGTATCTATGCTGGTCAGTTGGTCCACCCTGTGCATTTCCCGAGAGGAAGGCGATGAGCGGAGAAGTTAGAAGAAATGTTCTTAACAGCGATGGCTTCTTAATGTCAAGCTTATGGCTTCGGCTTTCTGCCTTCTCCCTCACCTAATCAGCAAAGTTTAACCACCACTGGCCTGCTGGTTCTCTTACCTAGGGGCAGCCCAGCCCTGTCCCCTAAGGGCCAGCTATTTTGAGGTGATATTAATTCAGGATCTTCAAATAATCACAGTCTCTGAATTCCAGCATAACCTAGAAAAACCAAAGGCTGTCTCAGCAGCTGTCCCGCCCAGAGGCCCCAAAGTGCGCTTGTTGGGTGACTTCTTATCTTGCCCCAGAGCAGCTCAGTCTCAGAAAACAAGCACCTCTCACAGTTGCTCTGGGCCACCCTGAGACACAGGGAGTGCACAGTGGGCCTCTTCTGCCATGCCGGAGGGGCCTCTCAGAGTGAGTGTTCAGCCTCGGTACCCCCTGGCACTCCCTGCCAAGCACCTCCAGCCTTACCTTCAGCTGGGGTGCGGCCTCTCCTCCCTGCTCCACGCTGCATTAGGCCTTGGCCTGCTTCTCTGCATTACTTTTCTGTTTCTCCATGATCTTTAGCTTTCCTGTTCCCGTTTTTTCGTGACCTAAGAGCTCTTCCTCTTTCTGCTCACTGGGCAGCTGTTTTCCAGCTGTCTTGATTCCAGGGCACAGAGGAGCCGTGAACTGCTGTCCCACCGTCCCGCCCTCCTCTCTGTATTCCAGACACAAGTCCTTTCCCACTGTGTCTCAAGCCCTTGTTCTTATAGTCTGTCTTCCAGCTCCTGTCTTAGTGATGGGCTGGACAGTGGTAGCCTTTCAATGAGAAGAGACGCCTGCCAACTTCCCTGGTAAAAGATCAAGTGCCACCTAAAACTAATCTGAGGGCAGATTAGTGGTCCTGAATGGCATTTAAAAATAAAGAGCAGTGTTGGGTATTATACTATTGTGGAGCCCATCTGTAAGGTCTTTTCCATTTAAAATTATGAATCTTAATTTTAAAATTTGAATTTATTTTGTGTTTTTGAGGTGGCATCATGCTAAACTGGCTAGGCTGGACTTGATTGTGCAATCTTCCTGCCTCAGCCTCCCAAATAGTGGGACTACCGAAGTGCACCACTGTACCCAGCTCAGAATCTTTTCATGGTGTTGTTAATAAACCCATGCTATTATTTTCATGGCACCTGCAAATGATGACTCGCTCTATGAAAAATCTTTGTTCAAATGTGGCAACTTCTAAGCAAATATTTAAGAATGTTATATTAATCATGAAAGCAAGTAATAATAAACAGTGCAAACACGAACGTACACTTTAAAGTTGGAATCCTCATTAAAAACGTCCCACACAGGCACTGTCCCTGCAGAGTGAACATCCCGAGCCCCAGGGGGCCCCCCTGACATTTGGCAGCTGGGTTAAGAGGAGGGTTGTGTGCAGCAGATAAGCCAGAGCCCCATTCCCAGCTCAGCCAGCACAGCAGGGAAGGCGGGGTGAGGGGGCGGGTTTCCTCTGCCAGCCAGGGCGGAGGCCGTGGGGGCTTCCCGGGAGACCCTGTCCTGGTGCGGTCACGCCCAGCACGGGCCTCTGGGTGGGAAGCCTGAGGACCGCAAGGCAGGGCGGCAGCCTGCGGCGGAGGCCAGCATTCTCTGGGAGAGGGATGAGGGCCCCGGGCCCCCTGCTCCTCACCTTGCTGACCTTGTCCTGGGCTCGTGGTGGCCCGGCCATGGGAGGATGGAAGTGACCCGCAGGTCCTCGGAGAAGGGGTCGGTTTGGGGAAGGGCCGCTCCATTCAGCGAATGCAGCCCTAGAGTGATGCTCCCCAGGCTTGGACCGCAGTCTGTTTCTCCCTTCTTCGCCTGCTGTTCCGGGAGATAATGCCCTATGGCTGCATCCCCCCATCCTCCCAACAACAGACTATTTAGAGCAGTTTTAGGCTCACAGCAAAATTGAGTTGGAAGTACTTGGGCCCTGACTCATACAGACCCCTTTTCCTCCACTAGCAACATCAGTGAACTTACTCGGAGGCATCATTCTCACCTGAAGTCCATAGTTAAATATAAGGTGCACTATTGGTGGCCTTCATTCTATATTTTTTGGCAAATGTATTATATAAAGTGCATCCACCATTATGGTATCACATAGAAACTCTTTATAGTCCTACAGTTCCTCTGTGATCCGCTCATGAATTCTCCCTTTTCCGCTAACCCACAGTGGCTTTCCCCGAGTATCATATATTAAACAGCCTTTTCAGATTGGCTTCTGTCACGTAGTGACAGGCATTTAATTTCCTCCCTGTCGTTTTACAGGTTGGCAGCTCATTTCCTTCTAGTGCAGAGTAACAATACATTGTCTAACATCCCACAGGTTATCCACCCACCTACTGAAGGACATCGTGGTTGCTTCTTAGTGTTGGCAATGATGAATAAACGTGCTGTAAGCATTCAGGTGTGGGCTTTTGGGTGAATATAGACTTTCAGCTTCTTTGACCAGATACTGAGGAGTGAGATTAATGGATTCCACAGCAAGAATATGCTCAGCTTTGCATGTTCCAGAGTGGCTGCCCCATTTTGCCCTCTCACCAGCAACCAGTGAGAGCTCCTGCTGCTCCATGTCCTCATCAGATTGGATGGTGTCAGTGCTCTAGATCCGGGCCACTCTCACAGCTGTCGTACTTGAATTTTGCCTGCTGTTTCTCTTTTCTCCTGGAGTCCCGTGGATGTGCTCTCCACCCCTTCCTTCTCCCTGACCAAAAGGCTGAAACCCAGGGGCTTTGTAAGGGAGCTCTCTGACCCTGATTCTGGATAAACTGGCCAGTGGGAGCTCAGCAGGAAGCTAGAGGGAGGGGACCATGAATTGCATCCCCAGTTTCCTGCTCCTGTGAGCCGCCTGTCTCCATCCACACACATCTCCATTCCACACAAGGGAGCAGTCCTGATGTCCCTGCGCACCTTTCCGGAGGCCTCTGTAAAACTCTCAGTACTCTGACTTGAGTGAGCTGTTTCCAGCAGGATCCTGATGGACACGTCTGCACACAGACACACAACCCACAAGAAAGGGTTTTTTTGGGTAATACTGGGAATGAAGCCCAGCATCTTATGCACAGCCAAATGCCCTAGCACTGAGCCACACTCTTAACTTCTCCATTTTGAGACAGGGTCCCACTCAGTTGCCTAGGCTTGCCTCACACTTGTGATCGTCCTGCTCCAACTTCCCAAGTAGCTGGGATTACGTACGTGCACCACCTTGGCCTGCAAGGAAGGATCTCATTTATTACTAACTTTCGGTATCTGCCTCTACAGGTGCTTTTAAGAAGCTCATTTCTAACTGTGGGATTCCACTACTCACATCCCCCACCCCAATGAAACACATTTCCCCTTGGCAGTGCTGGGTATGCAGGCAAATGCATCCAGGTGTTAGGAACTGGCCAGACTGGGCAGAGCAGCAAGTATGGTTTTGGGGGATGAAATGGGCTTTCTTCTGCCCTGGTGGGGTCAGGCTGCCCAGGGTCTGTTGTGTCTCCTAAGGCACCCAAATGCCGCTGCCTCCTGAGCAATCATGCACACCAGGAGTCTCTGTGCCTGTCCCTCAGCCTTCTCATCTGGGCAGATTTCCCCACATTTCCCTCTCCGGCCGGACTCTCACAGGCCTGATCTCATGGGTCTTCTACCTACACACCACTGGGCTCTCCTGTTCTTGTGGAAAGCTTCGTTTACATGGATCCTAGCAAAAGCCACCCCCTAGTTAAAGATAAGACAATCGGGGCCTTTCTTCCACAGATCCTTGCTCACTTATGGGCCCTCTGAAGGCTTCTCTGGGATGGGTGAGGAGGCTGCGCTATGCTGTCTAATGCAGAAGCCATTTCCATCTAGAATACTCCATATTAAACAAAAGTCAGTTCCTTAGTTTGCATTTCGAGTGCTCAGTAGCCACACATGGCTGGAGGCTGATCTCAGGGTTAGATGACAGCTCCTTGTGGAAGTTCACGTGGAATTAGGAAGTTACCTGACACAGGTGCTGTGCTGGAGACAAAGTTAGGAGTTGTTGGCACAGAATGTGATGGGCTGAAATGGCCTCCTGGGAGACACCTGCGTCTTAACCCCGGAAGTGTGACTGTGACCCTTCCAGGCAACCAAGAATCTTTGCAGATGTGATCTTGGAATCGATAATGCTGGACTATCCAGATGTGCCCTGGATGCCACTGCAAGTTTCTTATGAGAGAGAGAGGAAGATTTGGCACAGAAGAGTGAGCCATGTGAAGATGGAGCAGAGGAAGTGCTGAAGATGCTGGCCGGAAGATGGAGCTATTTGGCCTCAAGCCAAGGACTGCCATAGCCAGCAGAAGCCAGGGAAGAAAGGAATGATTCTCCTGCCGAGCCTCCAGAGGTGGGGTGAGGCACCTCCTTCACTCCTGCCTGCTCAGACTGATTTTGCACAGCTGGCTTCCAGAACAGTGAGAGAATTTCCTTTTGGTTAAGCCATACAATTTGTGGCAGTTTGTAACAATGACACACACAAAGGATTGGGAGCAGCAGAGTCACCTAATAGGCTACTACTGTCTGATTCCACCGCAGCCTGACATGGGCAGTCAGAGAAAGCTGAAGCCTGCTGCTGGCCTCCCATAGAGGAAGTGGCCTCCAAGAAATTAGGATGGTCCAGAGAAGTACGAGAAAGTGAGTTTAACATCCGCATTTTTGGTCATAAAATTGAAAAAGAAAATCACGGTACACTGACTTCCCTCACCACCTTTTACGAAACTACAGTGATAACTCTTTGCTTGGGAGAGCTTGGTGCTGGGAGATAATTTTCATGTTGGCAGAAACAAAAAATCGATGCTTTGCATCTTTATTCTCTTGGTGCAAGCATTTAAAAATAAACATGGAAACCAGGTTGTTACCTTAATTTTGCAATACAACAGTGTGGGCCGTTCTCAAATTGTCAACAGGCTGTGTCACAAAAGACCGTTTTTGTCACTTATTCT